AGACAGCATGCTAGAATTTACTCCCCAGTGAGGAGATTAAATCAGAATGAGAACCATTATCCCTTGACAAAGTTGTTTCTCAGAGAATGAGACTGAGGATACGCAGATTTTGATGCGTCTTTAAAAAGGAAGGAAAAATGAGAGTCGCTAATTCAGCCGCAATAATGTTACACTAATTGTCTTTTGTTCCAGCAAAGAATACAAGAGCTAGCTCTCCTTTTTGTTAATTATGATTGCAAACTACTGCGGAACTTCAAGCAAATATTTACATTGTAGTGGGAGAACTGTGTAAATGGAAAGACAGAAATAACTGATTGTTGCTTGCAATCATTTTGACATCTGAATTGAACCTGCCACTGATCTCACACATTGGAGTTCATGTCACGTCTGACAAAGTGTTGTTTAGGCGATCACCCTGAATGACAAGAAATTTATAAAGGTGGGGTACAGTAACTAAAGGGTTAAGTTTGTTTATACTTGTTTCATTACTATTGCCAGACTCTTGAAATATTTCTTTATGTTCTTGGACGTTATCAACTGAAAACAATGGGAATAATGCACTGGAAGGTCAAAAGCTTACATAATTAGAGGAAACCAATTAGAAATGTGGCTAAATAGTATCACTGCTGAAGTACTTTATCTTGGCTAAAGACCTAAATAAAAAAAAAAATCATTCCAGCTTTCCAGCATCGTTCTTGTTTAAAGCCCAGTCGTCCGCGTGACTTTTTATGGGACTTTTGACTTTTTCAGGTGTTTTGTACACAGAAGAGATGAAATCATTGTTTTGATTACATCTGAAAACCAGGAGATAGCAGAGGCTGGGACTGCCTCTCCAGCACTCTCAGTCTGAGACACACGACTGTTCTGCCCACGCACAAACCCACAGGAGACACGAGCTGCCACCTCGGTCCCCCGCTGCCTGACCCATCCAGGGATGCACCCCACAGCTGATGGTGGGGGACACCTGCCTGAGCTGGCTCTGCTGGGGGGACCCAGCTTGTCAGCAATGGATGGCATCCCTGCACCTTGCCGGATGCCACCCAGGCAGATTTTTGGCAAGGTGGCTGCTTTTGCTGACGACATGGTGACCTAGACTGACACAATTCTAGGAGCCCTGCATTGGAGACAGACCTACCTGTGCCTGAAACACCAAGCGTGCCTTTGCTTTTTCTTGCATCGAGTCTGGCACAAAGGGTGAGATTGAACATGTATTTGGCAAGTAAGGTGGGTATCTTGAAATACTATGCCACCACCGTTACACAATGTCAGATCTTCTTCCATTGCCTTTGGGGTTTGACAGTACAAAAGAGCTGAACCAGTTTCCTGATTAACTGAAGCACACAACCTAGCTCAAGTCATTGTGGACTGGTAGATACGTGACAGAGAATCTCTGTGGGTTTGGGTTTTTTTAAGAGTATCTAAAACACAACGTAAAAAAAAAAAAAAAAGTAGTCCCCTCTTACAGAAGAAATCCATGTTTTGTGCCTTCTTGCTGTGAAGGGTTCCACACTGTTCTAAGCATCCTGGCCCCAATCCAGCAGAGCACTTCAGCACGTGCTTTCCTTCAGTTACTTGTTCATTTTAACACCATCGTGTTCCGTGGGCACCAAATTGTGATCCCAATATTTATTCATTCTTCAGGGAGTATCTTCAATTAAACTATTTCTACAAACATGTTAGCTAATAATCTGTCCATTTTAAGTGCATTTTGCAAATGGGCAGACTTCTCCGTGTGGTCGTGCTGACCAAAGACAACTCTTCCAGCACAGAAACACTCACATAGGCACAGTATTTCACACTACAAAGACTCAAGAACTCACTCCTGAATGTACCAAGCGTAACTTCACTCTCGTGATTGGTCCAACACATGTTTAAATGTTTGCAGAATCAGGCCTGATGCTCTTTCCCTGGTTTAACTTTTATAAAGTATTGCCAGATGGGATAAATTTTGCACTCAGGCTACCCCTGGAAAAATATGTTAGCTCTCAAAGGCTTTATTATCAAATCCTGGAGTTTTCAAGGCAAAAAAGAAATGGGGTAGGGGAAAGTGGGGTAAGGGGGAGACAGACAGATGAATGGACAGAAGCATTATTCTATAAATTAAAATTTATGTGCTGAAATCAGAACACTGCTAGCAAAGCCAGCTTCATTTACCCAGTCCCTTTCAGGGAGTCACTTGAAAGAGCACTTCCCTTGCAGCCACGCTCGACAGATTGCCAATTACAGCCCTGCTGAGAGGGTGGAATTTCTTTAGAGTCACAACTCTTCATCTGCCATCACAGTAACGGGTAAGGTACTTGCCTTTTGATTAGGTTACTAAAAAATATCTCTGAACTGGAAAGCTTTGTTTCCACACATCTGAATTTGCTCAGTATCAAAAAAAAAAAAAAGATAAGCTTTTGTTTACATCCTTTTGACAAATTCAGAGGCTAATTGCTTTTAAGCAGGCAGGTCAAAAGGATACCTAAACAAGGATCCTACTTAAGGAAAACACGTGTTTGTAAATGCAATACAAAGAGCTTTCAAATATATTAGGGAGAGATACAGCATTGTCCATGCCAGGTAGATCTGTGCAACCTGGCACCTACAGAAAGCCCTGTCAGACATGTAGTGGCAGTCTAAAAACCTACAGTAAAAATTAGTGAGAGAGGAGGAAAGTATCTGTGGGGTGGTTTCAGTGTAAACTTCAGTTTAAAAGTTAAGCATGTGCTCTGTTAGTCAGCTAGACTCCATCTACAGCCAACAGGAGCCTCCAGTATGTCATTTATCCCACCTATCTGAAAAAATATCTTCCAGGAGGGAGCAAACCACCCCATGTAGCTGCTGATCTCTCTTGACTAGAGAGGGAGACTAGACTTTTAGTGTACACCAACTGCCAACATGTTGGATGGCTTATGTTTGGTGAGATTAAGCCTATCCCTGAGGACTGAATAGCTTCAACATTTCGTGTCAGATGATAGCAATATTACCGCTCCTTATGCATCACTCAAGAGGAACAGCCATGTGTTTAAAATCCAACTTCAAGAGGATACAAATACTTCAGTCCTAGATGTAGTCCCTTAACTTCACCACGAGTACCCTTCAGCTTAAAGTGAAGCACACACTTAAGGATCCCTGAGCTCATGTCCTGATCTCTGTGGAGTATGTAACCACTCCTCTGTGGATTCAGACGTGTGCAACCACACGTCTTCCCAGTGCTACAATATCTGAGCCTCAGTGCTGGCGGCTAAAGGCCAAATACTGACTCTGACTGCTTGGAAAGGCTGGACAGGCTGTATAGCTGCTGTAGCTCTGCTCTACGTAACTCCTTCCCATGGACAACAGTCCAATCAAGAAGCTGACTTCCACTGCCCGTCCCTTCAAGCCAGGAATTAAACATAAGAAGCCATGAAAGGCTGCTCTGCTTTCTAGAAAACGAAAAGGAAACAAACCAGTAACAGAATGAAAAACTTCCCAGAAACTAGAGAAAAAACTGCCTCCAGGTTTGTCACCGCAAAGCGCTGCTGCTGGCTGACCAAGGGGACCACAACATCACCTGCCACAGGCGCTCACCCTCCTGCAGACAGGATGAACCCTCCATCGTGGAGCTTGACTGTCTCTGCTGCAGAAGCACTGCTCCTCCCTCCGTGGGGCCAGAGGGGAAAGTTTTGCTCCTACGGGACTTCATTGTCTGCTTCTTAAAAATGCTGTAATCTTTTTAACTTTTACAAATGTTTTAACTCAGTAAAAACTATTTAAAGTAAGGACGAGAAGGGCAATTGGTCAAAGGACCGCAGCATGCTTAATCTTTTTTTTCTTTCTGAGTTCCCGTCCACATTTGAAATAACTTTTGTTCCATTTGCAACCCACATGCTGACACAGCATCCCTCCCCTTTTCTGTTCCCAGATCCTGTTATGAGTTTATTCAATAAAAAGACAGATATTCATCTCTTTTCAAGTACAAGAACATGCTTTTGAATAACTCAATATGCGACACTGTAACAGTACTCCAAGCCAGCTCGTTTTAATCAGTCGTATCAACTCTTAGAGCGGAGCTGCCATATACATATCATCACCTTGCGCGTTTACCTCATGGGTATGTAAATACGTAGGGCTAAATTCGGGCTGCCTGTTCTGCACATAGGGGAAGAGGTCATCCCTGGGGATGAGGCTGCCCAACCCAAGTCCCTCCAAACCTCTAGAACCCACAGCCCAGGTCTGCCATGCGGCTGCCCTCCTCACAGCAGCAGACCTCTTGGCTGGTGTCTTTTAGCACGTACCCAGCCCATCTTGAGGAAGGAAGGAAGGAGGAGGAGATTCTACTACAGAATGACACTCGATAAATATATAAACAAACAGGCAAATCAGGGAGGAATGTCCCTGGCTTCCTGCTCCTTGCTGTGGGACCAGGGAGCAGCTCCCGGAGGCAGGAATTAGAAGGCTTCCCAGCTGTGTCCCAGGAAGAAAGGAGTTAGAGGGGGAAGACAGGATGAGGAAACAGGAATGATAAGCCAGAGACCAGACTGACAGGAAAGTGTGCAGAGGTGGATAGGAAGCGGATGCTGGGATGCAGGGGAAAAAAACAACGATGACAGAACCAGCAAGACAAGTAAGGGGAGGACCAAGGCCCTAGAGCAGATGAGACTTTTGCAGTCCAGCAAAAATACAGCATACAAGGACTGGTTTAGAGGCTGGGGACATAAGCGGACATTGGGCTGGAGAGTAAGTGAGGGTGAAATTAAACACAAGAGGAGCAAGGAGATGAAGTGATACATGCAACAATTTCCCACTTGCCATGGACACAGTGCATAAGTCACACAGGAAGAAGCTCCTCCACACAAAGGGTTATGTATCTGTGAAACACTGGTGGTTCAGAAGGAAGGTAGTGCTCAAAACAGGCCCTTTGGTAAGGGACAGGTTACACTAGGAGTAATTGTTTGGTGAATAATCTCAAGAAACATGAATATCAGGTTCACAAGAGCGTAACAGAACAGTCAGGAAGGAGAACTGCATTCACTAACCTTCATATATGGCGATGATATGAGGGTGGCTGAGGTATGACATGATCTCAATCTCCCGTCTGATGTGAACCATATCTTGTTCATCCTTAATTTTGTCCTTACGAATGGATTTTATTGCAACCTATAAATTCAGGAAATCAAGCATTATTCTTGGAACTGAACAGATGCATATAATCCATTAAGGAGAGTTCAAAAAATAAATACAGATGTTAGATGTTGGCAGAACGTGGAATGACCAAAACAAAGCTTTAAAATACAAACCTCCATGCCCCAGTGCCTTAATTTTATAGCAATAAAGACACTCTCATTTCAGTAACACGCAACATGAAGTTTTAGGGTCTTCATGTCTTAGAACTTCATTGAGGGGGCACATAGGATCTTTTGGAAGGAACTCTGTTAGCCCAAGTACTCTCCACCTGAAGCAAATGGCAAAACTCCCAAAAGATTTTGATGGGAAGTACATTTGCTTAGACATGATTGCATCCAACAATTTCAAACAGAAGCTTTGAAGACAATTTCTCTGAAATAAGGTTGAGATTCTCTGATGGAATGGAGGCAGGGAATCCAGGGTGCCGATTATGAATTCATATTTGTCTGTGTTAAAACATCGAGGATTACATTAACACAGGTTGCTCCACAGTTCTCTAAAGCAGGCAAAGTGCTCAGGAGTTATGACTTATTTAAAAACCAGAAGCAATAAATCTTTGAAATTCACATCTAAACTCGTCCTCATATAAACCCAAGACTTTCAGGTCCTGCACAGCACTTATGCAATCACTGCAAAACCATATCCTTCCTGCATCCTTCCTCAATCAGCAACCTTTTTTTCAGGCACATCGTGTGACTGGGTATCTTTCCAAAAGGCAGGGTGGGAACAGAGGAAGTGATAGTTGAACTTGCAATGTAAATTCAAATTATAACAGCCCTTGTGAGTGTGTGTATGTGTGTTGCCTGTGAAAAAAGGGCTTATCTGAACAACGCCATAAATAATTGCAGAGGTCAGCTAATGCCCTGCGAGAAACGCACAAGCCAACAATGGAGAGAAGCTGGTGGGAGAGGGAAGGTGAGAGCATTGTGCATACTGAATGGCAGCGTGGCCTTTATTATACTCAATATTTACCCTGCTTTATTTTTGTAAGCCAGAGTTCACGGAATAAATTACCAGCTAGTTTAAAATCAACAACACGTCTTTGAAAAACATCACTGACCTGCTGAGATGACCACCCTTTTATGGGTAAACAAAACTTTTGTCATTTTATAAAGCCAACTACTGCGGACCTCTCCTGGGAAAACATTTGTAAATCTGTGATTTATGTGATTTTCCTAGTTCCTTCAGAAAAAATAATTTCACTGCCTACTTCAGTAATTGCAAGTGGCATGACCAGTATTGTTTTCATTATATGATGTAGCATCGAGGATATTGAAGAAAGAAGGGAAAAACTTACAATATTATAAAATTGAAATGTACATAAACAGGAGCAAGTTTAAAGGATCGGGTTTCCTACAAAGCCTGCAACTCTGAAAAGAAACATTGTTCAAAGAAGCATTAAGCACATGCCCCATCCCCTTGAATTCCCAAAGATTTCAGCACATGCTTAAAATTAAGCTCATGCTCAAGTGCTATCCTACTTTGGGGCAGCAGAACAAAAAGTAGAACTCGAGGGACAAACCGATTTGCATGTCAAAACCCATTCTTTTCTTCCTCTTGACCCAGACATTTGGGACAGAGATTTTAAAAGTAACAACATAACCATGGTCTTACGTACGTGGCACATATTTCTAGAAAAGGTAATACAACAGATTTTAATTGAAAAGTGATCAAGATAACCTCCAAGTAATTCTAGAGATGGGGAAGGCAACTAACACTAAAAATGAGACTGGATTTTTCCCCCTTCTCATGTTTGCACTGGGACAGGCTGCAAATGCAAATACACCCCCTATACAAGAAGGATGTGGGTGGCTCTTGGAGCAGCATGTGCATTCCTGCAAGAAATAAATATAGACATGGGTAAAAACACATTTTTTATTAAAAGACAGTCTTGCACTTGGCTCTGAGGAAGAATTTAAGAAGGGTTTCATTGTCAAATATACAACGGGGAGCAAATTCTTCACCATTCATGGCTGGTAAAGTAATAACGGCACCCCAGAGGGCACGCCAATCTCCTACTAACTTGACTCTGTGCTTCACAGACAGGACTTTTGTAAGTCTACACATAATTACTGCGAATGGCCTCCGTGGAATAATTGCACATGTGAAAACATGTATTTTCAGATTCAAAAATGCAAATGTGATTGAAAAGCATGGGGGCACTTTGTAAATATATGTTTGGATTAATCTTCAAATGCAAACAGATGTGTTGCCTGGGAACATATTTTTCAACAGGACCAGAGAGTTCACAGCCTCACAACCCATACTGAAAAGTTGTTACAGCACCTAGGAGCCTTAATGTATAAAGGCTGTGCCTAAAATTTTAAACAAATTTTGAAGATGGTACCTAAGCTTTCCTGAAAAAATCACTTCCCAGTTGCAGGGGTACAATTCAGCAGCCCAGCCAAAGTACTTGAGATTTTGACATCCAGGCTGCGAGATCTCATCCCAACATAAGGAAAGAATGCATGCCAAACACACCTCTTGGCTTCCAATATTCAAGACTTTCTCTTCCCTCCCTCAGCTACTTCAGATCACAGCAACCAGTGTCTAGAAACAGGGAAAGACACTAGGCAGGTGTGAAATATCTTAACTGGGGAGGGGAGGCGATGCCCCTTAACCAGGGCACAGCACGTTACAAGGACACGCACTCCGGATCGGAGCAAGGCTTCAGGCACTCGCACTTATGAACAAAATAATACCAGTCTATTTACATAGGAAACGAGCATGCTCAAAGCACGGTGCAGCCATTTATTAATTAAGCCTCGGGAGGCAAGTAGTGAAACAGCACTATTCATCCGCTTTTAGGAGACGAGGAAATCGAAACGGAAAGCTGTTGTGACTCCTAAAGGATACAAGGACAGCAGCATCTCAGAAATTGCTGCCTGCACCTCCCTTCCAAACTGTGCAACATGTCACAGGAGTGTCCCACTTAACAAACCATCCCATTACTAAAGGCTGGCTTCTGATACCTTTCTCCATGCTCAATTGCTATTTTCCCCCTCCAAAAGAACCTCAGGGAAGTAAAAGGTTTCAACGCATCTCAATAAACACTTGCTACCCCGCGCCACCTGCCTGGTGGCCTCCACATTCCCCAAGAGGACAGGCTCCACATCTCAAAGCCTTTCGGGAGGGCACAGCCTTGCCAGTGACCTTGCATAAAAGGCCAAACAGCGAGTGATCGCTGTCAGCGGAGCCACTGTCAGAGGTGGCATCCCAACAGCAGGATTAGTGGAGCAGCAGGACAGCGTTCGCTCCAGCTCTTCCCCTCTCAGTACGGGACTTCTGCCAGCCCAGCCTCTTCCACCTGCGTCCGTCTGCTCAGGCCGTGTCAGCAAGGGTACACGGGCTTGAGTCTACTGATGTGAAAAATACAACACAAACAAGAAAGCAGCCCAGCATCTTTTTTAGTATTTCATGGAAATGTTATGAGTCATGATCACATTTAGATATTTATTATATGTTTCTTTTTTTTTTTTCATCTCTCTGAGCAAAATAAGATCCCTAGCTGTATGTTATGGTTTCAGGCCGTAAAATAAGTCTCTCATCCAGGTATTCTAAAATATCAATAATGGAATTTCTTTCACAAAATGTATTTACTCAGAATTACATTCCAGAAAATACATTTTCAAAGTGCGCTTATGCTTTTAACACCAGACAGAGATGGCTCCATTTTAGAAAACGCCACTCACAGGACCGCTGCCAGATGCGGTACATGATGAACCTGAACAACTTAAGCCTAGTAAGAAATAATCTCAATTGAGAAATACCTTATGAAAGAACTTGTTTGTTCATTCTTTAGGTCCTTTTCTTGCTTGCTTGCGTGCTCGCTTTCTTTGCTTTCTCTGAAAGCAACAGCTCCACTGTGTGCAACATCAAAATTTATTAAGGGTCACAGCCTATGAATCAAGCGTAGGGCAAACGCAACAGGCTTTTTTATATCAGCTACATTAACTACTCCAAATATTCCAGCTCAAGATCTGCAGAGAAAGTGCTGTTAGTCCCTTCGGTACACTCAGAACACTGTACTTATACTTCTACCACACTTTCTCAATATATTTCACTGGTCTTAAGACTTAGATAATTTAATTATAGTATTTTTAGTAACTTTACTAGTGGAGGAATTTGTATTTTTCCTAGCTTCTTGTCTTAATGAGAATTTCAGATAACTCCAAGACCTTGCACTCAGACAAAGTAACATATCAGATTCTTAATAATGAAATCTAAAGCCTCTCACCCCAACAAACCAGGTTCAGGTTCACCCGGGGCCCCTATAGACCCAGGATCCATTCTGGCAAAACACTTTAGCACATGCCTAGCTTCACACGTGCGAGCAGTCTATTCGCTTTTGTGGGATAGCTCACACATGTAAAGTTAAATATACACATAAGCACCAAGGTCACGGCTCAAAACTAGGCCATGCGATGGTCCCTCGGGGATCGATACCGGCTCTACGCACCAGTTAACATCCTCGGTATCTTTTCTACAGCTCTGATGGTAAAATGGTCCCACAGACAGGGTTAGGGGGGGAGAAAGGAGCACCAGAGACGGACTGAAACCACCTCCACCTGCACTGCCAGTTCTGGTACCAACCTCTGCCCAGAAGCAGGTAGAGAGAATGCCCTCTCCAAAACGTATGGCACAGGGGAGAGTTGTGAACCTCTAATATTTCCAGACATTGCCAAAAGTCTTAGCAGGAGCACAGCCCTCGCTCCTCTGCTCCTCTGCCTTCCAGAAGCAGATAGGAAAAGAGGGAGCCCAGCTTTTGGCTTCCCATCCCTCTATGAGTCAACTTGCAGAGTTTGCTGGGCAGGAAACGTGGAGAAATACACTGCTGTCTTCAAGGCTGCAATAAATTACCTGTCTCCATTTGCTGGAAAGAGGATATATACTCACTCTCTGGACTGGTGTAGCAAGATTCTTTATTTTCCGACACACTTCATGCTTCTTTGCTTTTGTTTGGTACAAATAAC